CCCCCCCCCATTCTGCCGCCCCCCTTCCCCAGTTTTACGTGTTCCCTTGCGGACACGCGTTCCACTCCGAGTGCCTGTTGGAAAACATCCGGCCGCACCTCTCGGTAGAGCAGCGGTCGGCGGTGGAGTCACTGGTTAAGATGATCGCTGCCGGCGGGGGCGGGGGAGGCGGAGACGCGAAGCACGGTTCTGCCGCAGTTGCTGGAGATAAGGGGCCTGGAGGGGCAGCAGCAGCAGCAGCAACTGCAAACGGTGGTACAGATGGTTCGAGGAGGGCGCAACATTACCGCAGGTCGTTGCAGGTGCGTCACATGTCGTTGCTTATTTTTTGTTTGGGGGGGGCGGGGGGGAGGGTTGGTCGATCAAGGTATTAGGCACGCGTGCGTATTTCTAGCGTGTACACAGGGGCGCGTCGTGTGTTTGGTTGCAGGGATCGTCTTGGGTGTTGGAGGGAGTTATCTTCCGGCGGCCCGTATGTACGTACGACGTTTCACTACAATTCCGATCGAGTTGTGCCCTTCCGTCTCTCCCAACAAGAAGAAACAAGTGTCTAGCACGTGTACGTGAGAGGCGTGTCTACTTAACAGCACGTGTGGGGAGGAGCACGAGGTGATGGTCCGATTGAGCTCCGCATCGCCAAAACCGTGGAAGTGGACCAAAAAGCTACTGTAGGACCCCGGGATAGAAGAAACAGAAATAACGGGGTTCCTTTTTGTTCCCTTACCAGGCAACAGCGCGTGTGTCCGGTGTGTACCCCGATCCTCTTTTGGGGGGGCGGTGGTATCCGCTGGCCCAAGCACTACGAGAGACAGAACCAAGACTGCGTACCCTCTGCGGCACCTTCCCTCCCTCTCAGCACAAGCTATGTAGCATGTAGGCGCTTAAACATTTTCTCCCCCACCCCCGTACCGCACACGCCTTTTTGTGCTTGATCTTTGCGGATCGAACCTATGGATATGCGCGGATGTTGTTTGCCATCGTCGTGGCTGTGTCTTCGCCTTTTGGCCCTTGGGTTGGTGATGGTTGCTGATCTGATGGATATTCGGGTGGATCGATCTGATGTATGTATGCGTACGGCCGTCGTTTGTCATCGTCGTCGCTATGTCTTCGCGTTTGAGCCTTTGGTTTTGGTGACGGTTGTTGCTGCTCAGACGGAACTGGACGGGTACGTGGCGGCCGAGTGTGTTCTTTGCGGTGACATGATGGTCCAGAGCGTCGACAAGCCCCTCGTGACGGTGGAGGAACAGGCAGAACAACTGCACCAGTGGGCGCTGTGACCGAGTTGCGTTTGGTCAGGTTGTGGACTGCTGCTCGTGGAACAAGCATCAGTGACGCTTTGCGACCGCTGTTCGAATCTCGGTTTGGTCGGGTTGTGGACTGCTGTTCGAGGAACGACCAGAACATGTGCTCAGTGGGCTTTTCGTGAACCGTGTGTATTTGGTCAGGGTGTGGACTGCTGTTCGAGGAAGGACCAGAACATGTGCTCAGTGGGCTCTTTGTGAACCGTTTATTTTTGGTCAGGGTGTTGACTGCTGAATGAACCCGTTCGCATCCTTACTTTCATGTCCTCCTATCCACGCTCCAATGACTTGACGCCGTTGACGCCGGACGAATCGAAGTACTCCAACGGTCGCTTTAACGAGCCTTTTAGCCTTTTTTGCAGCTAGTGCTTGTTGTGCTTTAAGGCACGCCAACAGTACGTACGGCTGGGAACCGAGGCATCTCGTGGGGTGTGTGCATCCACGCTTTGTTTCGGGTGTGCTGTGGTTTGGTTGATGGCTCTTGCTGTAGAGTAGGCATGTGTGGTCCAAAGCCAACGGCACGTGCGCCCAGCAAGGCGCTGCGTTTGATTGCCTCGCCTTTGGATTTTGGCAGGACCCATCCAAGCGCTGTGTGCGTCATGTCGTCCGCTTTTTTGAAAGCTGCAAACGTGTTTTTCTGCGCTTTCCGACCCCAACCGAGGCGCAGATATGCCCGATAGCAGCTGGCCAGGCCAGGCCAGGCCGGGGCGAGCGGCGTAAGTCTGTTTCTATCGGCTGCGGCAGCATGCTCGGTGCTGATAAGAAGCGAGCAACGAAAACAGACTAGACAAGGGGGGGAGCGTCCGGCTGGCTGGCGTACGCTGAAAGAGCATGCGGTGACGCCAGCTGTCTACCCCGGCTGTGTGTTCTGCCTCAGCGCGAACCATGACGACAGCATTGAAAATACGCCCGACACAGGGTAAGAAACACACAAAATACTGTTCGAGCGCCGAGAACGCAGTCTGTCGCCAGCCACTGGGCGACCCCGTGACACCCACTACATCCATTGATTCATGCATGCACGAACTGCATAAAAGAAATGTATCGTACGTGTAAATCACAACGCATTATATTCTTCTTCGTCTTCGGACCGTACGCCGGTCAGGTATGAAATCCTTAACTCGAACAACACGCAACAGCAACAGCAACACAAGGCAGACCGGCATCATGCTGTCAGGCGAAACATCCATCCTCTTTCTCGTCGAGCAGCAGTTAGAATCGAATCAATCGTCATCTTCTGCGTTGCCCCCGTTCAGCAGCAGCTCCTTGAACGAGGCCGACTTGGGCCGGATGAGGTTGTCCTCCCCGTAGGTCACCGTCACCTTCTCGATGATGTCCCCGTCCCTCATCCTGCCGAGCAGCTTACGGTTGCCCACCACGTAGGCGAAGATGGCGTACCTCCCGTCCAGGGCCTCCACCCCCTGGTTCATGAGGAAACCGTCCTTCTCCAGGTTGTCATCCTGCAACCAGAAGAACTCGCTTGAGGCCCCGTTGCCGTCTAGGGCGGGGTGGTTCATGGCGATCGCCCCCGGGATCCGGAAGGTCTGCACCGCTGGGGCCTTGGTAAAAACCTTCGTGTTGCGCGCGGCGCCGTAGACGGGAACGTTCCCCTTGCGCCCGACGCGCAGGATCTCTAGCGGTAGCCTCCGCAGGGTCCCCGTCGCGGGGTCGACGAAGCCCTCCCGGTACGACCCGGACACTACGGTCGAGATTGTCTCGTTGTTGTCCGAGCCCACCTGCGCCTCCGCGGGGACGCCGTCGAACCGGATGGGGAGCTCGTTGTAGAAGCCCCGCAGCGCCAGGTCGATGAAGTTCCCGGCCGTGACGGGCGAGCTGTAGCCATCCACGACGACGGTCACGTTGCCGAGGACCTTCGCCTTCTCCCTGGGGGAGTCCGGCTCCCGCCTCACCGTCATCTCCACCGTCGCCCGCCCCAGCAGCTGCGGGACCGAGCGGTACATCTCCCCGGCGTCCACCTCGAACGGGAAGCCGGAGTCGAAGAGCTCGCCGATCCTGCCAAGCGCGAGCAGGGCGTCCTCCTGGGCGGTGAGCACGGCCGGCGGGAGCCTGGACCGGGCCCCCGCCGCCATGCGCGTCAGCGCCTCCTTCGCCGCCGCGAAGACGGACTCGAAGTACTCCGCGCGCCTGATCTGGGCCTCGGCGGAGTCCATCTCACGGAATACCGGCTCGATGGCCCCCCGCTGCTCCTCCAGGATCTCGAGGGCTCCCTCCGACACCGCCAGCACCCGGTCCCACACCGCCGGCGGCACCGGCAGTTGCTCCACCACGCTGCCCGTCGTCGAGTAATTCACCCGACGGTACAGGGTCCGCAGGATCGTGGCCTTCTCGATCTCCTCCTGGATCGCCCTCAGGACGTTGGCCCTGACCCCGTCGATCGGGAGCAGGTCCAACAGGACCGACTCCGTCAGGATCGGGGTCCCCAGCCGGGTGCGGTCCACCACCGCCGCCTCAGCCGCGGGGATCCCCAATCCCCCCCCCCCCCCCCCCCCCCCCCCCCCCCCCCC